TGGAGACCGACGTGAGCCCTCCGGTCGAAGAGGTGGGCCGGAGTCGGAAAACGGGCGTCGCTCCTCCTCGGCCAGACCTTTCGGCCGGTGATTGGATCGCCCTTCTGGCCTGTTGTCCCGATACTTGGGCCGGCCCATGAGTTGCGCGTTGACTACTTGGGCCGAGCCTTCGTTGAGAAGCCGGTCCCCGAGAGACCCCGGGTTTATGAACCCGACATTATGACTTAAGTATGTGTACTACAAAAATATATTCAATAAAAATCTAATGATGCTTACTAAATATGATAAATATATGCATTTTTTCATGGAATTTTTTTTGTCAAATTTAAGGCATTTGACTTTTTTTTTGAAAAATAAGGCATTTGACTTAGTATGAAGCCAATTGCATAATTGCTGATGGTAAAAAAACGGGCTGTCGGGGTAGACACCCCCGAACTATTTTAGCTTAAGATAGATGACATCTCACCCAGCCTGAGAAAACCCCCGAACCCCATGTCCCGCCCGCACATAGAGGCCTGTTACGCGGTGAGAGGGCCAGTCCATTTTACTTGTGCTTTGGGAACGCGGGACAGACGAGGTTTTTTTTCCACACCGTCGACCAAAAATTCGCCTAACCCAGAATTCGAACTCTAGTTACGGGGGACGCCACCCGGAGGCTTGACCAATTGGTCTAGCAACCATCGGCGACGAGTAGGGATGATGATTTGAATGCGCCCTTAGCTTTAACTATTTAGATTTGTCCTATGATTATGAAATCCTTAAATACTCAATCAGAGTGGTAGTGATGACCCATTTCTTTTGAGAAATATGTACGCATGCAAAACAGAACAATGCCACATGGAAATCAAACCCAGCCCCTTCCTATGCAGATTTGAAAACATTTATCACTAGACTACAATCAGAGATTTTGCTAAGTTTATATATAACAGTATATAATAATATTGACTCAGTCTATAAGTATGGACCTCCAATCTTATTATCCATTCCCCAGCTGCCCCTTGTCCACCTTTGTCCTCACATCTCCTATAGTACAACCGCATCCCAATGTCCCGTGACACATATCCCTCAATGTCGTCGCATCCTCCACAGTGCCATCACATCCCAGCATCCGGTGACACATATCCCATAGTATCACTGTATCCCCATGCCCTATTACAAGAAAGCGAATCTCTGCGCGATGAGTTTGCTCGATAGAGATGGGATGGAAAATCTCAATTTGGCCTGCAATGAAGGTTCTAAAATTACCGATCTACCCATATTCAAAATAAATAAATACAGGGCAATCCGAAACTGCTCTACCTATTTTAGTAATGGTCTCACATATTTTTTTTTAGTACCGTCCCTACCTATTTGATATTTCTAGGTACTTTTATATGTATATCTTTTATTTGTTTTTATAGTCTGATCTTGCCCTATGAATGGCTCATATTTTCTCCCCACTGTAAATTTCTCCTTATTTAATCTTTTCAGCAAATAATGGACTGTGCAGTAATTTTTCTCCAGACCTTCTGTAGTGGTCAGGCTGTGTAGGGTTAATTGAACCGCAAGTTTCGGTAGAACAGACAAAAACTATGCTATGCTACTCTAAAAATGCCAAGCTCTTCACTCTTCAGTTCCCTGTGAACCTGAACCCATTCCCTTGCCGACAGCGCACTCCCACAGTCCCACTGGTTTCGCCCGGGTCCACATCCTATGGTATGGTATGGTATGTTCTGTGGCTGAGCTCCAAAGTCCAAAGATTAGCAAATTACGAAGGCGACCAAACAGACCCCCCGCTCCCGTGCACTGCTCATGGCAGACATTTCCCTTAGAAAACGCAGCCGAGAAATTCTGGAGATCCAAACCCCGGCACGAAGCTAGGCGAACTGCAGCCTGCAGGTCGACATCTAATCCATTTCTTGCCGCTTCAGCATGTTATATGCGTGTGATTACTCAACATCACTTGCTAACCGGAAACAAAACATACTATCTCTTAGCAGTTAGCACTTGCTCTAAGCCTCTAACATAGCTCATGTTCCTTACCCCAAAATCAGATATGACAAGGAAGCTCAGAGAGTTGCTGCAAAAGAGCGACAACCGCATATGTGCTGACTGCAGTGTACCTGATCCCAAATGGGCGTAAGTACTCTGCTCTTGACTTCAATATGTGAGCATTTCGATGTGAAGTATTACTAGGCAGATATCTGAACATATTAGAGTTTGAGTAATTGTCAAGGTTTTTTTGTTTTGTAATCCCAATGTTATGCATAGTCATTGCTCAAACTTACATACATCAATATCTTTGATCCCTTGACTACTTGACTCCTTGTGAATAACTAACTCTGTTCCTGCAGATCAGCTAATATTGGAGTATTCATTTGTCTAAAATGCTGTTGTGTTCACAGAAGCCTTGGGACACATGTTTCAAAGGTTATTCATTGCAAATAGAAATAATGTTAATTCTTACGCTCTAGCATGTGTATGTGAGTGAGGTTTTCCTATTTCAATAATACTCCGTAGAAGCAAAACATTTTAAATGGCAAGATGATTGTACTATGTACTTTTGTCACTCCTTTTTCAAAATTTCTATGTGCTGTAGCAGCTTGAAGAATGTTCTGGCTGAAGCGAATTTCTGCTTGACACAGGTGCTGTCAGTCACTCTAGATCAATGGGCAGATGATGAGATCAACTCCATGATAGAAGTTGGTGGAAACTCTTATGCCAATGCTATATATGAAGCATTTCTGCCAGAGGGTTATCACAAGCCACATCCAGATTCTAGCCAGGAAGAGAGAGCTGATTTCATCAGGTACCTGAGATAAGCAAATAGTTTGCTTGGGAAGTATGAAAAATTATGATGCTAAGAGTCAGTAAGTTTAGTTTTTGACAACATTTGGCTAGCCATTCAGTTTAAAATATGAGAAGCTGTCTTTTGTCACAACCACTATGGCTAATCTGCACCCTACAATTTCACTAATTAAAGAGCTTAGTACGAATGACAGAACAGTCCTATGCAAAAGAAAGACTTACTTGATATAGTAACTGCTGAACACGAGTAGTTTTTGCAACCTCTCAGGTCGAAGTATGAGCTGCAAGAATTTCTGAAGCCAAGCCTAAGGTTAGTTTCTAATAAGGGCTCTTTAGAGGCTACCGGCTCTCGGAAACATACGGGCAGAATGTCTCTCTTTCTGCTAGTTTCAACAGTGAGGTAAGTTTGACATAACTGTTAGTTAAATTTGGCTATATAAAAGAGTCAATTTTGACCTTCAATGTCACAATGGCCTTTTAAGCATCCTTTGTTTCATATATTTTGCAGGCTGGAATGGTTGAGTTTATCGGAATACTAAAAGTTAAAGTAATAAGAGGGACTAAATTAGCTGTAAGAGACCTGATAAGTAGTGACCCCTATGTTGTACTGACCCTAGGACAACAGGTATTACATTTCACCAAAATGAGTAGCCCTAGCTGATAGATTCCTCATTGTTTATCCTCGTCTCATTCAGACCATTTCAGTTGATATTAGCATTGCTCTCTGCAGAAAGCAAATACTTATGTGATTAAACGTAATCTGAATCCTGTTTGGAATGAAGAGCTTAAGCTGTCAGTTCCTCAGCAGTACGGGCCTCTGAAGCTCGTAAGTCCACACTCCTTATTACAAACATGTTAGGGCCTGTTTAGTTCCACCCAAGACTCAAATTTTTTTCGCAGTATCCATCACATCGAATTTTGCGGCACATGCATGGAGTACTAAATGTAGACGAAAAAAAAACTAATTACACAGTTGGGTGAGAAATCGCGAGACGAAACTTTCGAACCTAATTAGTCTATAATTAAACACTAATTGCCAAATACAAACGAAAGTGCTACAGTACCCAAAACCAAAATTTTTTGCCAACTAAACATGCCCTTAACCATAAACTTCAGATTCAGATTCAGATTCAGAGGTAATAGCATCTAACAAACTCCTTTCCTCACAATCCAGCAAGTGTTCGACCATGACATGCTATCAAAGGATGACAAAATGGGCGATGCCGAGATAGACCTGCAGCCGATGATCAGTGCAGCTACAGCGTTTGGCGACCCTGAACTACTCGCGGACATGCAGATCGGCAAGTGGCTCAAGTCCCCGGACAATGCGCTGGCAAGGGACAGCGCCGTCAATGTCATCGGTGGCAAGGTCAAGCAGGAGGTCTCTCTGAGGCTGCAGAACGTGGAATCCGGGGAGGTAGAACTGGAGCTGGAGTGGATACCTCTCAATCAGTAGAATTCAAAATTCACCTATATGTGATGCATGTTTGTGACATAAGTCGTGATGTTCTTGGTCATCTTCAGATTGTCAGGATGCCTGCAGTGTTGTAAACTATCTTTGCGGCTGTGATGCTGATGGAACATTTTGGTAATTAGGTAGCATGGTAATTTGAGGACTCAATGACTCGTAAGTCATAATAACGCACCTAATCTGTGGTTCATCAGTTCATGAGATTGTAAGCAATGGAAGATTACTCTAAAACACTGCAGGCATCCTGACAATCTCAACATGAGGTCGCTTGCGATCTTTGGGGATACCCCGAGGTTACTAAGACGGTCCGCGAGCTCATTGACCTTGTGGTTGGGTCGTTATCGGCCGGCGCCGGCTGCAGACGGCAAGGTCGACGGGGAGCGGGGACGGGGCCTTTGTGCAGAGATGGGCCTAGCAAATCGACGGCGTAGTGGGCTGGAGGCAGATTAGGCCGGAGACCAGGAGGGCACCTCACCGTGGGCTTACCCAACTGGGCCGGCCTATCCTCGCAGGTCTCGCCAGCATCCCATGTATAGTTGGTGCCGCGGACGGAGACGGACTCCATGTCCGAGTCGAGGCGGGCTCCATAAAAAGCAAAGGGCAGGAAGGTTGGGCTGGCTGGCCAGTCCACCACGTCTCCGCCCGATCTCCTCGTCCCTCGTCCCTCCTTGCGCCGCCCCATCTCCTCCCTCCGCCACCCACACCACGCGGAGTCGTCGTTGCGATTGCGAATTTGCGATTGATGGAGGACGCAAGGACAGCAAATCCGGTTCCTGCTTCTCCTGCAACTGGTTGTGGAAGGGATCACAGTACTAAGATGGGGGAGACACCACATGCTCCCTCTCCTCTCCGTCTTTCTAGGTGAGTGAAAAAAAAAACTGCTGGGCAGGCAGTCTCTCGATTCGCTCCTCATCATTATTATTCTTTATTTAAGTGAAGTGTATAGTTTACGAGCTATTTGTGTGCCGTTTCTGAAGCTGCAGGAGAGACAGGATTACTAGCACACCTGTGGACGAGCAGCCTGATTCTCCAACATCTCCATCATCATGTACTCTACCCAACGGCTATTCTCCGGTGATGATAAGGTCAGTAATTAAGTGGGACTCATGTTTAATCAAATTGAAGTCGCAGTGTGGTTGTGGTGAGTTAATTGCATGCCTACGGTAATTTAATCTTAATTCTTCTCACCCTCTTCTTTTTGGTTATTATAGAAACTCATCTTTAGACGATTATGGACCGCCACCGCCACCGCCACCTGTAAATCAAGAGGAGGCACACTACAACGACAACAGCCCTATAGCCAGCTATACGGATGCATCATTCCAGTCCAATCAGGATGTCGAGCCATTCAATTGTGATGATTTGGAGTATGGCGATATGAACCCACCTGGTTACATCGCAGATCCTTGTGTGGTGGTTCGTCAAGCCATTTCATTCGCAGAAACATCGCTGAAATGTCACAATGATGACCCAAGCAACGAAGTGAAGTATGAACTTATCGAGGCTACCAAGAGTAATGTCATGCTTCACGGTAGCGGTTATTATGCCCATGTCAACTTCACCGCGAGGGCAAAGGGAGAAGGTTCCCAGCAGGAGCTCTTCTTTGCAGAGCTGAACCTACATGGACGGCTTCACGACTTTGACGTGCTTTCGCCCCTTGAAAGAAAAGGACGACCAAGTTGGTTCGTGTTCCCTATAATCTCCATCTCCTCTATATATTCAGTCCTAGCCTGAATTTTGAAATAATAGTGAGTTGGCTACTAAAATATTTCCGAAAATTTAATCGTACTAACATTTTGTTTATTGTTATCTGATGACGATAGCAGGTGGCCGTATGGGGTTGCAAAGGGCAGACGACGGTATAGACCTTGATCACTGCTATTGCGTGTTCGGATGTACTCAAAACACCCAAGGGATGGAGCGTCATATCACGCCGGCCATCGGACTGGGCGCCGACGCTACGAGCTTCCTTAATCTGCATGGGTTACGTTGTTTTTGGCGTGTCTAGTCATGAGAAATTTGGTTCATGGAATCATCTCATTTAGAATGACACGGTGCATCATGAATTTATTCTATGATTTTGATAAAACGGCGCCACTCCACATGCTTAATTAGTACTCCCTCCGTTCTAAATTATAAGACGTTTTGATTTGTCTAGATATATTATTTTTAGTATGTATCTAACTATGTGTATACCAAAAACTACGTATCTAGAAAAGTTAAAACATCTTATAATTTGGGATGGATTGATACTGAATATTTTGTCGAAGTCGACAATAAGATGCGGCCAAGGAGATGACGACAATAGGCATATCCATCCACCCCGCATAATAATGTCCATTCAGGTATTAGTGGGCCCTAAAGAAAAACTAACCTAAGCCCAACAAACCACCACTTCTCCCCCTTAGAGCATCTCCAAGAATCATTATTCTTAAGCTCACGCTCTAAATCATTATTTAGAGAGTCATTTGAATAAAAAATATTTCTCTATCTTTTTCCACCCTCTATACCTTGTGAACACTCTAGAGAGTGTTATCCTTGCTCTCTATTTTTAGCTAGCGAGAAATCTAAAATCGAGGTATTTGAAGGTCTAATTAAACAAGCCGTAGAAGAGTATTTTTCACCAAAATCTATATTACTATCAATTAGGATAGGTCGGATATAAAGAGACACACTTGTCCTTTCGTACCACTGCATGTGCCTAAACTCTGATTCGCACCTCCAATCTTCCTCCACCTTCGTTCATCTACCCAAATCTAGGGCTCGACGTGAACGACGCTTGGTTTAGTCAGCGCCACGGCGTAGGTGCCAGCATAGGGGAGGAATAGGCGCAAATGCTACCTGAGGGCAGCGGGAGAAAATGCTACCTGAGGGCAGCCGGAGAGAGAATGCCAAGGCAGACATCCAGTGGGCCAAGGACCACGGTGAGGCCATCCACGTTCGTAAACCCAGAAGCATGGAGGAAGAGGCAGTGGGGGGTGTGGGGGGGGGGGCTTTGGAAATGAGAGTCAGGGGCGGATCTAGCGGTGGGGCGGGGGGCTTAAGCCCCCCAACAGGCTATTGTGACTTTGTATGAGACCAGATATGTCTCCGTTTATTAGATGCCAGACTACTGTGACTATGTGAAGGATCGGAGATCTGTGACTATGTGAATAATGAGACCTCTAATATATTAATGGTTTTCTATAAAATATGATCGGAGTACCTCAGGTTCATGACGCACTGCAAGGAGAACCCCGTTCCCATGGATCCCCCTAGAGCCATTCAAGAAATTTTTTCATGTCTGCTTTGAAGAGAGGCTAGAAGTTGAAGATGACGACTTCAACTATCTCTAAACTTTCATGATAGATCCCCCTCAATTGATGTAATACGACAAAGGTGAAAAATGTGAAGAAAAGTGTAAACGAAGGGTGCGTTTGGTTCTTTTTCTCGCCACTGTGCTACCTAGCTGTTCCAAGCAACTCTAATGGTTTGTTTTCTCTACCAGAACATGTTAGAATATATGCGGGCGAGATTCTCCGTGCTTCTATGAGCTAAAATCTCCTTGAGCGAGGTTCTCGTTATCTGTGCCTATAGGGCAAGGTTTTTGTTATTCATGCCCGTATGGCGAGGCCGGGCTAGGGGCGAGACCGGAAAGAGAAGTCTGGCTCTAGCGAAACTTGAAGCGGGCGAAGGTTCAAACCTGAATCCAGCTAATTCGGTTTATGGCAAAAATGACCAGATTATCCTTGGGCCCCGTTTGGATCCTTACAATTGAATTTATTTTAATAATTATAATTTAGACACATATTAATTAAGCTAATACGGTTGTATATGGATTATATTTGTATATTATTGTTGGTTATACGAGAGAGATACTTATGTGTTGCATTTCTACCGTAGGGGAGCGAGTTGAAAAACATGCTATAAGTTACGAAGTAGAAACATAGAATGGTGATCTATAAAATCAATTTTCATATTCCACACTATGAATTTGAGATAGGCTTATACGTGAACATTAGAAAGTGTTGGAATGTCAAATTCTAAGCTAAATAGCCTAATTTATTAAGTAGATTTTAATTCCTGCAAATGAAAGGATCCAAACGGCCCCTCGAGGGAATGTAAATGTGTTTTCCTGATTCCTGTATGGCATTAGACAAGAACAGAAAGGATTATTAATTTATGTTATCAAAGGCTCCAACCCCAGTAATACCGTAGTGCTTGTATAGCGTTGGGTGCTGTCTAATTTACCCATCGAACTAGAAAATCAGATGTTTTCTGTTCTCGTAACTATTAAAATTGGCTGTGTTTGCTAATTGGATGGTTTGTAAGACAGTTTAGTCAAGGTGGTGCCACCTCAGACGACCTACGTGAACACGTGATGCCACGTTAGTCATGTTAGTCACGAGGATAGCATCAAGCCATCAATCATCTTCTGCATAGCATCAAGCCATCAACCATCTTCGCTCCAGCTTTGAACCATGGAAACTCCGCTTGTAGGTTCATGCCCTCCAAGCACAGCCCCCATGGTAGCAGTGCAGATAGTGACCCCAAGCTTTTTCAAGAAAAGAAGCCGCTGATCAGATACACACGGATCAGCTAAAATCTGAAAACGAATAACAATCAAGTTTAGCATCATCACTCATGCCGTCATGGATGACAGCCGTTTCAAGTAGCATAATGTTGTGCAAGGAGTGGAAGCAATCGAGACACCGAACAAGGAGGCTGTCTGAAACTCTTAGCTCTGAACAAACAGGCCCAAGTCACAAGAACATGATTTCACCATAATAATCATGCCCCGTATGCAAGTATGAGAAATGAGATAAGATACTATAATAGTAGAAATATATAAGGAGACAACAGAGTTCATTTGAAAAAGGATATCAAGATTCAAGATTTATAGCAAGGGGGCACCTTGTTCCCTGTGCACTCCAATTCCACCCTGAGGAAAAGGGGAATAGTAGCTAGTTTGTTCTCAATGTACCAACGAACCCACCAATACAAATCAAGAAACAAGAAGCTTGACACGATTTAAAAAGCTAGGGCGGAATCGAACGGCAACAAGGGGAGCAGATTTAGTAATAGATAGCAACTGTAACATTGATACCAGTGTTGAGACATGCAAGTCATCCTACTAGGAGTATGTTGACACATTCTATTAACAATGACATGAACATCATGATCAACAAGCAACCAATGAACATCAACTACTTTTATCTGTCATTCATTTCCAGCCTCTCCAGGGCTGATCTTGTCCTAACCCTTGAAGAATAAACAGCCTTCACAGTCCTCATTCATCGTCGTCCTCATTTTCATCAATCCCTACCCAACGAGTGAAGGCAAACAGAAATTCCTTGAATGTCACCATTCCATTCTTGTCCCAGTCCATTTCCTCTGGTGCCATGTAAAGAAAGGTAAACATCAGGAATGGAAAGATATGATAGAAGTTTCAAAATAGTAACAGGAATTATGAGTGTGCAAGTTTTTAGACTTCACAGAAAGGAAGCAGCTAAAGTTTGATGTGAAGCTAAGCATTTCAGATGACTAGAGATGTACTGAACAGACATTAGGAAACTCGTCGTTTTCCTGAATAGGTGCCTTTCTTTCTTTGGAAAGAAGCATTTTTATTTAAAGAGATCCCCCTCCCCTCCCCTGTGTACCTCTTTTCCCTCTCAGCAAAGACTAGTAGGTAGGAAGGGAGTGGTCCAACCGAGAAGAACATGTGGTGGTTCACTTACACAAAAGACTAGTAGGTATGGAGCTACCAAGAAATAGAAAACTGACCAAATCTTTTCATGGCTATACGCCCAGAAGAGCGCTCTCCTGTCGTGGTCTCATTTATTGCTTGAATCATCTCATCCTTGCTCACGTACCCATCTTTATTCTTATCCAAGAAGACAAATGCATCAACCAAGGTCTCAAAAGTTGCCTCAAGATTTCCTAGGCCCATCTTTATCTTCTGTGAAGTATGTAAAGGAAACAGGAATACTCCTGACAGAAATGGCATAAGAAATATAAAACAGAGCCTGAGTGCAAAAATTTCTCACAGTGAATCTACAAACCTTCATAATCCAATCAAAATTGTGGCAAGCTTATATTAGGATGAAAAATGGTGTTCCACTAACATAATGCATCACTATCAGTATCTCAAATCTGCCAATAGGAACCACATATAATTATATAAATAAACCACAACTTCGCTAATGGATTTAAGAAAAAATATCAAAGTAAAATTACTTTTTTATAAGTAAAGTAAAATTACATTAGCATACCTCTGTACCAACACTACACAATGTGACAATAACACTAATAATACAATCAGGATGTTACTATGTGAATTAATATGACTTATGAAGGATACTGCTTCTGAGACAGCTGGTTCATTGAGAAGATAGATAAGGCACAGAAAGACAATGAACTCATTGAACTTCATGCCCATATCTTCATTTATATCGCAAGCTTCAAAGAGATCACATATCTCCTCCTCTGTGAATGAGATTTCCAGCTTTTGAAAACAATGTTTCAGTTCTTCTTTATCTATTTCGCCATTGGAATCTTCATCTGCAAAAGCACCACTTCTTGACACATGAATGGGAACATGAAAACTGACAATGTCTAAAATAGTTGTCTCCATTAGCGCAAGTCAACAAATATTCCACAGAGCATAACAGTCTTCCCACTTTGATTACTTCCCACTGACACACATGTTTTCTTTTTAGTAAATAAAAGAGATAGGATGTCGCTACCTTACAACCATGTAGTGAATACTAAATGCTTAGGAGTTATAAGTTTGATCATAAATGAAGAAATAGAAGCAGAGGGAAGTGTAAACAACAGAAGCATAGGAATCAAAGGGAAAACGAATAAACAAGCATTGGCATAAATTATGAGAATTTGAACAGTTTATGACAAGAACAATAACTATATGTAAAACAGCACTAAATGAGTAAGTGAAACTATCAGGTCCAGTTCTGAATCTTGAGAAATACAATTGAAAAGAAGCTTAATCACCAAATTGCCACATGACACATTGGCATTTTCACTAAAAGCATGAAAGTGTCCAGACTCTCCAAAGCACAAGCAAAAGGGCAGAACTCACCAAATTGTTCGAAGATAGTCTTGCATTTTCTAAAACTCTCGTCAATTTTGGGGAACTTCATGATAATACTATCGAACGATTTCAGTGAAGTTCCATGCGACGCTCTCTGCTGCATAGCATCAACCATCTTTGCCTCCAGCTTCGAACCATGGAAACTCCGCTTGTGGGTGTCATGCCGTCCAAGCACAGCCCCCATGCTAGCAGTTCAGATAGTGACCCCGATATATTTTTTTTTTTCTTTCAACCGAAGAAGCCCCCGATCAGATACACACGGAGCAGCTGAAAATCTGAAAATGAATAGCAATCAGTTAAGCATCATCACTCATGCATGACAGCTGTTTCAAGTAGAATAATGTTCTGCAAGGAGTGGAAGCAATCGAGACGCCGAACAGGGAGGCTGTCTGAGTAACAAGAACAGGATTTCACCATCATAATCGCGCCCCGTATGCAATTACGAGATGAGATATTAACAGTAGAAACATATACGTCCACAGGAGACAACAGAGAACCTTAAAGAAAAATAATATCAAGATTGAACGCAAGGAAAAAGGGAATAGCAGCCAGTTCCCTCTGCCCGACTCCACTCTGAGGAAAAGAGGAATAGCAGCCAGTTCGTTGTCAGTGTACCAGCGAACCCACCAAAACAAATCAAGAAACAAGGATCGGTGCGAGCTAGTGCGGAATCGAACGGCGACGAGAAGGGAAGAAGATTGCAAGACGAGGAGCGCTTGCCTGGACGCCTGTCTCCTGGCGGCACCAAGAGAATCCGGGAGCGGGATCGGCGATGTGAGCCCTGCGCGGAGTCCGCCGGGGTTGAGAATCGGTTTGACAAGGGAAAGGTCCGAGCTTTGGCCTTCGGGAGGGGGGAATCCGCAGGGGATTATTCGGGCCGGCCTGATGAGCCAAAGCAGCAGGAGAGGCTGGGGCTTTCGTGCTGGGACCGCTGGCTTGGTGGGATGAGGCTAGAGAGACAGCACTAGCACTACAGCAGAAGCAGCACGGCCAGCGTTGGCCTCAGGTGTTCCGCCCTTCGCGAGGCCGACAGGTGGGTCCAGCGTGCTGGGCGGTGGGAATGCCTCTCTCCTGCTCGGGCGTTGGGATGACCGATAGATGACTAGCCGAGCCAAGATAGCACGCGGCGTGCGTGCTGTTGAGTGTTGACACCTCGACACCGGGAGACTCCAGACTGGAGCGGTCAAATATTCCTCCTCACCAAGTCAATAGTCACCGGTGACCACTCCAATGCAGCCGCCTCCGCCGCCAGATCACCTCGCCGAGGCAATCCAACGAGTCAATGATGAATGCAGCCGGTCAGTGGCTCCTAGACTCGCTGTTTTTTTTTTGTTAGAGGTAGCAATGGATTAGCATCAAATTCATATAGATAAATCCAATTAAAATTAAGGGGAAAAAATCTAAGTCCAAACCTATTCTACTACAAAATAGTTAATGTCTAACAAAATCATTAGAACTACTTGTTTATTCTATGGCCACGTTCGTTTCGCCGAAAAAACAATCCGAAACACTGTTCCGTCTGATTTGTTGTGAGAGAAAAACACTGTTTTGGCTGAAAAAATAAGCTGAAAAGTACGGATTATAAGAGAAGCGAACATGGCCTATATCAAAAGCTAGATCCAAAATTTAAAATCTCATGTTCATACCTTAAAATTTTAGCGAAATCAGAAAATTTATTAGAGATGACTTAATGTCATTGCAAGCTACTTTGTGCAAGCCGACGTGACTATATATATATATATCAGCCCACGTCGAAAGTCAAACCCTAAACTAAAAATCTTGTGCCCACGCCTTAAAATTTTAGCGAAATCAATCAAAAGTTTTTGGAGACGACTTAATATGATTGCTCGTTACTTTGTACAAATTAGTATGACTAACATTAAAAATTGACCTACCTCTCAAGTATTCAAGTCCATATAAAATTCATTCGGCACTAGATTTTTTTTTAAGTTAATGTCCAATGGATTATGAGCATTAAAATGCAATACATCCCATCCGAATGCATTCAAAACAACTAAAGTTCAATTAAATTTTAGATTATCTAAATCCACTACCACCTCTATTTTTACCAAAGCAACCATTGGACTGCTTGAGTTCTTAGCCTTCCTCCAGTATCATCATCCCCTAAACAAAAACGAACTAAAAACATTGAGAAAATGCTACTATGAGTCAGTTAAAAAAAATGCTACTATGAGCTAGCTAGAGATCAGAAGCACACAAACTATAGTTTTGTAAAAAAAAAAAAAAGGTATCGGAGAAATTTAGAACGGGTACCTAACGCATGCACAAGAACAGCCCTTGACATGGTGTTACAAGACAAGACTCAATCTGAGATTCATAGTTACAATTAGCCTGATGTACAACATACTAATGTGTATAAAATGGTATTTACTATCTATGACCATTCTTGGATCTTTGTTAAGTCGATCTACAGGCGTGATTGGCTCATGGACAAGCCCAGCCTAGCTCACATCTAGGGTCCAGGCTCCTTGTAGCTAAACACAAAATTAGACAGTCATAACAAGTTGTTTGGTTGCTCAAACAAGTAGGGGCGAAGATAAAAAATATATATAAACAATTATCATCATAATATTTATAGTGCTACTAGTATCTCCTAGCTCTTAATTTATCTTTTTACTCATTAATTTAAATTGGGATATGTTAATATCACTTAGTATGTGATAATAATGCATTAACAACATCGTTAGATGGCTAATTACTCGCATCCTGTGAGCTGGCCGGAGAAATACAGCCATCATCCTCATGTCCCCGGAGCCAGGCTAGAGGATGCTTTTGCATCTAAAGATCCAGGCTCAGGTGCTCATGCAGCAAACCGAACAAGGAAAAGTCTCATCGCCTAGGCCTGATCAGAGAAAATCCAACAACTAATCACGCCCTACATGATTGATCACATGGTCAAAAGCTTCTGTTTACATTGGAGTCCTCATTTAGGTTAAGCACCAACCACCTCCATGGTTTGCAGGACAATAATTCGTTTTCCTCGGATTTGATAAGGACTTGGTATGCCCAAAATTCATTAAGCCCAATAATGCATCCAACAAATCTACAAGTTAGCAACCACATGACGTGCCAAAACTGACGAGGCACTGAGGCAGCTGAGGACCATCGGTAGGTCAATCAATGTGCCCTTTAAAATGTAGTCGTCGAGCAAACAAGGCACGCGCTTGCCATTGACTTCCACAAGTCCTTAAGAGAGAATACATGCTGCATCATCATCGAGCATCTGTTTAAGCTAATATTCTAGACCTACAATGAAAATATCTATTTTGCAGATTCTAAAATAGCTTGCTCACCAGTTTGTTAAACATTCTAGGTACTAGGCTATTCCTATACTTGAATCCGTATGTAGCAGAACTGCCGGAGTTCAGCGCATCAGTACTAACTCCATTTTTCTCAAACAACTCCACCACGTCCTCCCAATACATGATGCTCGTGCTGTTGCACACGGCCAGCAGCAGTGCATCGTAGGTGGCTTCATTAGGTACAACCTGACCATGTGATTCCATCTGGCGACACAACGAGAATGCCCCTTGGAGCTCATTGATCTTGCAATACCCATCAATGACAATGTTGTACATCTCCGTTGTTGGTACCAACCCTGTTTTCGCAAATGTCTGCAACACCTTCTCTGCGAGTGAAACTTTCTGAATCCTGCAAAGCTCCTTCAACAAGGTAACACAACCATTATCCTTTGCAGCAACACCGTCCTTTGCAGATTTTTCAATGATGCCCAGTAGCTGATCTTCATTGATTCTGAAGAGGAACTCAAACAGGCTGCCATGAACGATCTTGTGTAGTGTCGTCCCTTGCATCAGCATCTCATGGAACAGAGCTGTAACGTCTCCCAGCCGTTCAGCCAAGCAGAGTTCTGCCATCAGTGAATGGTAGGTGTATTCATCTGGCATGAAGCCATCCTGCACCATCTGAGCCCGCAGCTGGAGCGCAGCCTCCAGATCCCCACTCTCGTTCTTCGTCGAGGCCAGAACATGACTCAGCCTCTTCAAGTGGCCATTGATCATGACAGTATATGTGAAATTATTTGGCACCAGGAACATGTCTGCCATCTCGCCGAACATCTTGACAGTGTCGTCGCCCCTACCGGCCTTCCAGAGCCCGGCAAGTACCAGGTTGTAGGAGTGAGCATTGGGAGGTGCCATGTCATCGTTGCCCATGTGCTGGAGCCAATGGATGGCGTCATCGATGCTGTCCGCCGTGATGCAGATTTCGATGAGCACGTTCCGGGGGATTTTGTGTGGGCACTCCCGGAACTTTTCCAGCCTCTGAAGCATATGCCGCTGTTGCTTGGGTAGCTTCATGCCCGCCTGCACCATCTGGGTCCGCAACTCGGAAGCAGCCTCCAGATCTCCCTTCTTCAGGCAGTCATTCATCATATTCATGGTAAGGTACCGGTACCTGGAATGTTTTGGCGCCGCGGCCGTGCCCGCCATTTCGCCGAACACCTTGACGGCGTCAGCCGCTCTCCCGGCTCTCCACACCTTGGTGATCGCCCTGTTGCGCTGGCGATCGGCGAGGGTCTCGAACACGCGGCGCGCATCCGCGCGGCGTCCAAGGGAGAGGAGCTTCGCCATGAGGTGGCCGCAGGAGGTCGCCGACGGCCGCGGCAACTTGGGCGTGCGGATGAGGAGGTCGATCAGCAGCAGCGCGCCGTCGGGGAGGTCCGCGCGCGCGGATGCCTCGACCAGCGCGGACGCCGCGCCTCTGAGGTAAAGGCGCTGCCCACGTGGGCCTGCGGCGGCCAACGAGCGGTACATCTCGGGGACGCCGGACGCCCCGACGGTATTGGAGCGTATGAACTGCTCCGCCCGGTTAACTGAATCCCGCAAACTTCGGGCGGTGAGGAGGGCAGAGATCTCGCCGGCGACGACAGCGGCGCTGGCCTGGGCGCCGGAGGAGAGGGAGTGGTGGCGAGGGAGGAAGAGGCGGTGCCATTCCATAGCTTCAACAGGAACGGTTCGGCTGGTCAGGTGGCGCACACAAGCTGGCAAGCCACCTGTGCCCGAAAACGCGGTTCTGCTGCCCTGCTACCAAAATAATAAGTGGATATACCTCATTTATCGAAGAGTCAGTTTTTAAATTTAATTTAGTATATAAAATAATATTAATGTTTATATTTTCAAATAAATTTATTATGAAAATATATTTCAGAACCAATCTCATAATCAGCCTGTTTGCTTGTTTGATTCAGCCAGAGCTTATCAGTCATGGTATAGTATTTTCTTCTCACAACAAATCAGTAGCAACTGGGCTTATCAGCCCAGAAACCAATCAGCGAACAGACCGAATACATTAATACTTATTACAAATCATAAGTATTATTATTTTTAAAATATATATTTAATCAAACTAAAAAAACTTCTCGAGATGTGTACTTATTTTGAAACAGAATAGAAATTTAGGAGTACCCAGGCCTTTTTTTTTTTTTTTGCGAAGCTCCAGTGTATAATAGATTACATGACATTCCCAACCAGAGGTCAGCATAAGGTCGAGACTCAAAACGTCAAGTATTACAATATGCCAATGAGACTGTGGATTCACGTTTGCAGAGCACATAAAGGTCCGTTAACATTTCTGGTGATGATTACCACGCCCAGAGGCAAACCCACACAAATCAGAGAATGGCTCAGTATAGGAATGCATGTGCCACCAACCATTTCACGCCAGGTACGACAGTACAGCATAGCAAATCAGAGACATTACCGAGCAGCATAAAAATGAGATTCTGTCGATACAACTCGACCTTCAAACCCTACACAAATCCTGAAAGCAATGCACTGGTGCCCCTTCCCCAGCCACAAGTCCGGAACAGTTCCTAGCCTTGAAATTTACAGGATTAAATTGGAAAGAATCATAAGAAACGAATATTAAAGGTTGGCAGTTAACACATCGGGGCTGGGACAATCCATGACCTAACAGAAAGATTTCTAAGTAATGTTCAACCAACGTACACAGCATGATTGGCGCTGAATGTCAGAAGCTCCGAATCGCAGCGCAGGCTCTGTCGGTGAACCATCAGTGAGTTCCTAGCAGATTTGTCCAAGAGTTAAATGGGTATTCACAGTTGTCAAGATGATTTGGTTCTCTTGTGTCGAGCCTGGCCTTGGAGACACAACCGGAGACGCTGGGATATGTTTTCCCCCATCTCTTGCCTCTCCTTTTTTAACCTCTTCCACAGTGATCGATTCTTCTTCTCCTTCGGGATCGTGAGAGGTAGAGGTTTCCTTCGAACCCGTCTCAGTGGCGTTGCTAGAGCCCTTAGTGTCATGCTCTACAGTTTGTGAGAAGAAGATGAGATTAAAAACTGCCCTATATCTACTGGTTCACAGATCCAGCATAAGCAGGACATCACTAATTTGAAATCAGCCTTATATTGTTGAAGTAATCCCTCTACAAATTATAGCTCACTCTAGTTTTGCCCTTAGTCAATCTTATCTAGCTTTGACCAAGTTTATACAAAAATATATTAACGTCTACAATATCAGATCAGTTTCATTAAATTTTACATAATGTCCTGATAGTGAATTTATTTGAATTTGTTTATAGATGTTAATATACTTTTTTCTAAAAACTTAGTCAAAGATAGAGAAGTTTGACTTAGGACAAAGCAAAGTGAACTATAATTTTGAACATAAGGAGTAGCAAATAAACACAAAGATTTCTAGCATTCAAATCTTAAGGGCCTATTAAAAGACTGAAGAAATGTACCTTGAGCTTATGATTAGGTATCTCAGGCTGCTCGCCTGATGATGATCCATCACTAGCTCCGCCCAAGGAAGAACATCTTCCCCAGCTCTCTCTGTTTGAACTGGTGTATGAACAGCATTCCTCTGTTTGTCTGTTTGCTTTATCCTAATAAGGAAAGAAAACTCCTTAACTTCAAGTAAAGAAATCACAAAGATCATTATTTTTTTCTCAAAGAAACTAGGCAATATCTTCTTTTACCTCTAAATGACACTCTCCTGTGTTACCGTCCATCTCAGTGAGGTTATGATTTTCATCCAAAAGAAAATCCTGCATTTGAATGGAGTTAAAATCTCAAGTAGAATAGGAAGGGCAGACAATAATTGACTTTTTTTTTCCTCGAAAACGCAGGAGAGCTGCGCTTCATTATATTATGAAGAGAATAAAGGGCAAGAGCCCGAACAACACCCCACACACCACACACACACACTCACGCCCCAACCATGACTTACCAAGTCATTATCATTTTTAACAGATAACTGATTTACCCTCTCTGTCAGCAATTCAACTACTGATTTTGTAGCTGAAACAATGAAAACGAAGTCAATAAGCAGAAAATGGTTACTTAAAGATATTAAGTACAACCATTGAGGAAGAAAAGCCACACCATTTGTGAAATTAGCTGTAGCAGCTGATGAACTTCCTGCATCAGTGCCAGCTGCCCGTAGACCATTGATGATCTCATACAATAAGCTCTGAAAATTCAATTACATGTATAAGTAATCTACTAGGAGAGTTTCGTACAACACGAGGCAGAAGATTTCACACAGGATTGCAAAGAAATGAATTGAAAATTTACCTCATTGGTACCAGCACCACCCTTAAAAGCACCAAGGTTGTAATACTTATCAAATTTATTTGTGCAAGTTGAAGGAAACTGAGGTGGGTAAAGAAGGTTGTAGAAGAATATTGAAACAGAGTCGTAATAAAACTGGGGCCTTGGGGAATTGTGATCACCCTCAAATTTGATTAGATTTTTATCCCCCTGCAGAGGAATAGAAATATGTCACCAACATGGGCAGCAATCAGAAGGCCCTTCAGCAGGAGCAATCACCAGTGATGAGGCTTGTACGCATTTAAAAGCCATGTATGTACTGATCAGCATTCCTAAAGCAAGCTAGAGTGATACTTACCGCATATGCCTGATGAATACGTTCTGTGTGATGTGGCTGAATAAACATATCATTTGAAGCATGTCCAAATAATGCAGGAATAAACGTCTTGGGTGCAAACTGGCAAGGCAAAAAAAAAAAAAAACAATGTTACCCAGAAAGATAGTCTATTCACATCCTATGAGTTTGACTGAAAAATGGAATTGATTATGATAGTACTCCAAAGAAAAAGAATTCACAGTATAACATGCAGTTTTATGCTACAATCAATTTTACACAAGCAATATCGCTCAAATCTCAACTCAAAATCAATCTCATGTAGAAGTTTCGACTTATCTAATGTCAGTGTTCAGAGCCAAGACAATTGAGAATCCTAACTTGGGTGAAAAAGACACATGCAATAAACCATTCTTTTTTCCTTACTTTTTCTTTTTGCATTGCAGTCAAGTTGCTCCTTTGAGGCCTAATCAGGTCAAAAATAGGCTAACCATATGCGTTTCTAACTACTCCATGCATCCAATCATAGGTAATGCATACCATTGTCCTTGTCAAGGATCGTAACTATAACAATGGTAACAAATCGTTCCAATCCACCTTTTTAAAAAGTTCTACCAGGCTCTTCAGTGATTGAACTAGTAGAAAATAGAAAATAGTCAAATACTATTTTGGAAAGCAAACCTGGACAACATTAAGATCCATTATGTCAAATTTAGCTCTTCTCTGAATGACACGTCGCATGTACTGAACAGCCATCTTAACCTGAAAATATATGTATCACAACAACCATCAAATCATGTGAGTATAGCAACATACAGTGAGCACTTGAACAGAACATGAAGCAGGAAAGCCTATACTGTGGACTTTTACAACATTAACAACGGCACTTCTATATTGTGAATCATTTGCAATCTACAATCAGCAAGCATTATTTCATGGAACATCAGCAGCAGGAAACAGAAGCCAGGTGCTGAATCTCCCTATAATTGTACCAAGTTACCAACAAGCGTTCTACATACATCTCTTATATAACAATACACATATGTGCCTATAATTATATCATAAAAAGCACATACAGTTCAGCAGTAAAATGGTTACTTTAATGAAAATAGTGAAGCTAAACATTCACCACAAGATAATCATACCGTGAACTTAGGAACTCGTATTTTGTAAACTTCTACGAGCTCCATCATCAAGTCATATAAGTTAGCGAAAGCACTATCCAGAACCATGCCAGCAATTGAGGGGTCTTCTGCTCCATATAGCAGACTGCAGCAAATATATGGACACAAGTTGTCATGAATTACCAAAATGCAAATATATGAAGAATAATCTAAATCAAGATACTTTGCAGAATTAACTGCAAGTACCAGGATAGGGGTGGGGGGCAATTCAATGATCAGTACAAACTCTTTAAGATGCAATTTGTAAGAGATATATTCTACTATAATCCAACACCTTCTAAAAAGATGTATTATCACAGAAACAGAATGATGGGCAATTCTACGCAAAGTAGAGAACAAGCATTTTAGATAAATTAATACCTTGTAACAGCACCCATCGAGCGCCCCCAAAGGCCTATACGAGAAACTTGCTTATTGTTACGCAGAAAGGACATGGCACATTTGAGATCCTGCTTCTGGGAGTACCACAGTGATAATATTTTTCAGGACATGTCATTTAAAATATAATATGAATGTCGCTACAAAATTTATAATGACTACACACCTCATGCCAACCAAGGCTGACATAATCTCCGCTTGATAGCCCTGATCCCGCAAAGTCAAGTGTAAAAAGGGTGATATTTGAAGGAAGAAGTATGACAGCGGCTTCATTTGCATCTGCTCTGCATCCACTGCATTAAATTAATGAAAAAACTTGTTAAATGAACCACATTGGCTATTGAAGATGGTAAAGAGCAAAAATGGAAATAAGATTCATCTTGATAGCGGTAGACAAGTAAGAGCTTCAAAATTCATTTGATCAAAATGTTTAAGATGTATGAATTATGATCAACAGGGCAGAAATTAATAGCATGACTGCATGAGACAAGAGATGTAAGTACCTATTCCCATGGCAGTAGACTACACATGGAAGGGCAGTGTTTTCTGGGATGACAGCAGGAACATAGTGGCTGCATTTTAAGGTCTGACTTCTTTCATTCGTAAGCTGCAACATACAATGATACAAGTAAGAGTAAGGTTGATATACAAATGATATCGATAGTCATCACCAACATACAAACGGATGACACGGAAAACCTCGATAGTCCTGACCCTTACTTGCCTCCAAATCTAGTCTTTTATACCTCCTTCCGGCGAGAGTAAACTCTGGCTCCCATAAATACTGATCTGGATTGTACTCTGCACTGTAAATGCATTGCCAGTTAACCACCACTCAGCAGGAAATAGATAGAAAATAATCTGATACAGACATCAAAATTCAAAAAATCAAAACCTGAAGGCAATGAACCTAAATTATTCATTTATTGCCACATCTTACAGAAAAGGCACAAATTTATTTTAGAAAAGTACAGTTGGTATGAATGCACATGTTAATTAAATGTAAAGGCTTTTTTTGGTTTACTAACACAAACCAGTTTAGTTGTGCAACTACAGCACATGTGATTATGACGAGCTACTTGCTTGACTGAAAACCTGGTACTGGACTCTCAATAGAGAGGCTGAACAACAAACTTTTTACTCCTGTGTTAATGTAACATCGGTGGCCTAAATGAATCCAACAAGCATTCGAGTACTTCAAGTACAGATTTTTCGTATTCTTGTGCCTTGAGCATTGTTGAGACTACAGTTGGAGGCAGGTACGCTTTTCCTTACAACAGACGCTGATACGTTTTTTTCATTTCGTACAGAGGCCGATAAATTGCAATAGGTTGGTCTAGCTATTTGCTATAGATAGAAAATTCATACGGTAAACTCCTACACTTAAAAGTGACGAATTGCAGCGACATATCACCACTGACAATGGCGTAAAGGCTGCCCAATCCCACCAACTCGCGGTTGCAGCAGAAAGCAGGCCAAATTCCGGAGACACGGGTGGGAATAAAGTGATTACCGAGGCGGCCGGATGACGAAGTTGACGAACTGCTCGATCATCGCTTCCCGAGGACGACGAAGCAGCGACGGCGGCCTCCGGGGCGCATGTACGTCGCACGCCCGCCCACCAACCTCTCGCAGACTAACCAACTCTCCCTCCCAGAATTCCTCTCCCTCCGCACACCTAGACTAGCCACCAAATCAACTCAGATCGAATTCTCCTGCCCGGACAGCCTCAGATCCGCGCGGAACCGCCCGCGGCTCCCGGCGACCCGGAGCCCGGAATGCTCGCCGCGAGCCGCGGGGCCCGGCGAGTGGGGAGAGGAGCGGGTACTCGGAGAAGGCTCCCCGCGTCCACCGCTGCGGCTGCGGTGGCGGCGGCGGGACGAGGCGGGGAATGGAGTCGGAGGAGCGAGACGGCTGAGACGGGACGGGAGTAGGCAGAGGCAGTGTGGCGTCTGGCGTGGGAAATGTGAACGTTAACGAGGAGGCGAACGCGCAGAGTCTAGGCGTAGCGTAGTAGGAGAAACGATATGCAGGGTTTGAAACGCATTTTTTTTTCTTGTGTGTTTGCTTTTGTAGTTTAGCCCCCCTGGAGCTGGAGTTTTGCGAGCCGCATGTGGCCCCATCTCGCGTGGGTGTCATGGTGGATGCCGCAAAGGCCAAGGACTACCGTTTCTCAGTTTTTAGTCAGGCCTGATTTAGTTCTAAAAATTTTCGCCCTAAATTATCACATCGAATCTTACAACGTATGTATGGAGTATTAAATATAGATAAAAAAACCTAATTGCACAGTTTAGTTGGAAATCACGAGATAAATGTTTTAAGACTAATTAGTCCATAAGTAACCATAAATGCTACAGTAACTAACATACGCTAATGATGGATTAATTAAGTTTAATAAATTCATCTTGTGGTTTTCAGACGAGCTATGTAATTAGTTTTTTTATTAGTATTAAAACTCCTTCGTCCCCAAAGCATACGATATGACATCAACAATTTTCGTTCCGCGAACGGAACAGCCTCAGTTTCTCCGGTGCTCGACTGTTTTTTTTGGAATCTTCCTGCTAGACTGTTGGAGGCCTGGAGCTTAGGTGGATCCTTCTCATGTCCTGTGTAGGTTTTTTCTGGCATTGTCTTTATGCTGAACATTTCCTTCCATTTGCTAGGTGTTTCATAGATGAACGCTTGTTGAACAAAGGACGACGACAACAACGACAAGCACGATGGAATTTTAACAACCTAGAGTTAGAGGGGAACATTTGCTGGCGCTAATCTTTAGAGCACGGAGGATGCAGGGCACTGATATCATCAGTGACGCAATGAGACAGTAGTTGTCGGTGTTTCGAATAAGCACCAACTAATAAATTTATATTTGTTGCGTGTTAGACTTCGGATGATGTACTAAAGGACACAAGGTTTACACTGGTTCGGGCAGAATGTCCCTACGTCCAGTTTGCTGCTGCTCGTGTTATTAGCACTGAAAAATGTTCGTAGTAGGGGGTACAAACGGTCGAGAAAGGGACAAGTCCAAAGTCTCTGATGAAAAGGTCGAAAGGATGCTAAGAGCTCGGTTGCTGCTTGAGAAATAGTCCCCACTTCGACCTGTGGCGGTATTTCTTTGCCGTCAACCTCTTGAAGAAGCGGGAGAAGAGGCAAGAGCTAAGCGTCCCGGTGGGATGTGCCGGCATTCATCTCCGCAACAACCGGGTAAACGAATACCCGTCGATGCGTCTGTCGACCTCCAACAAGGGGTGGCATTCGCATTAGTTTTACGTCAAGGACGATGCGGCCGCCCCCTTGCGGCGTTCTCCGGTGCATTATCGAAGAGGTCCCGGAGCCGTGAAAGTGGGGTGTACCGGATAAAGACAAGAAGAAAATCTAGGACCATCTCGCCGCCATCCGAATTCTAAGGAGAGGGGCGTGAAGGTGTCGGGGATCATCGGCGCCTACCATACGTGGAGGGTAGCACCGCTGATGAGCCGCGTGCTTCCCCTATACCTGATGGCGCCGGGCGTCACTCGATGGGACGGTGCTTGCCGATGAAGCGCCCCCTCCGAAGTGACGCAGCGCATCAAGGAGGCGATGGAGTCTTCAAAGGACGACGCCGGTGTCATCCTTGATTTCATGTATCCGGTGCCAGGGCACCCTCCAATGCGGCCGGAACCGGGGTACATTGACTTCGTAAGTTCTCTTTTTCCGTGCCTCTTTTTTAATTGAACTTCCGACCCCTTGATGCCGATATTGGGATAGCGGGACCAGCCGAAGAGGCTCGGCTTCGTTGCCAAAGGACCCACTTGTAGCGGCGACGAATCGTACCGCGGCCGAGTGGGAGAGGAAGACGAAGGAGTTCAAGAGGAAGAAGCTACAGAAGCAGCAGGCACGGGAGCGAGGTGAAGAAAGAAACAGTGATGACGACGACGATGAGGAAGATGACGTGGTAGTCGCAGACATCAAGTGGGGTGACCTGGGAGGCATGGACGCACTGACAGGTGCCCACTCGTCAGTGCAGGGACCCTTCCCGTTCCACGCAAGGGAAGGTGAGGTCGTGAGGCCGGAGGAGGAGACGGGCCAGACCGTCGGCCCGTCCTTAGCACCATCAGAGGTGGGCGGATCTGCCGCCATGCCCGAGGTGCCAGCAGGAGCTGGCAGACCTATCGCCACGCCCCAAGAGCTGGCGGAGGTGGGCGGATCTGTCGCCGCGCCCGAGGTGCCAGCGGGAGCGGGCGGATCCGCCACCGTGCCCGTGGTGCTGAGAGAGGGGGGTGGCTCCGCCGCTGTACCCCTAGATACGAGGGAGGCGAGCCCCCCGGCCCAGGAGCCAGGGACGGGCTCAAAATGGTCCCGCCCTGACGAGGGGGAGCAGGGAACTGGGGGTTCATCCCCCAAACGTCTCCAACGCCCAACAGCGCTGACGTACGTTGCTGATTCCTCTATTTTTCTCTGTTTTTCTCTGTTTTTCATAGTGTCTCACGCCTTTTGTTTCTTTTGTAGCGTTGGGAGATGGGTCAGACGGGGCACTTCCATAGTGCTGGCACCCAAGAAGACAGTCGCCCTTCAGGCAAGGCGGGGGTCACCGCCAAACATCGCTCCCGTTTTGGGCGAAAGCGGAGCCGGTGTCACAGCCTCGTCGGCTGGTCTGGCGCCATTCGTGGTGGTGCCCGTGCCCTCGGTGGGTCAAGCGGTCGATGAGGGCGAGGGGGCACCCTCAGAGGTTGCTACGCAACTAGCGACGGAAGTGACGCCGCCGCCGATGTCAGGGCGGGCGGAGCTGTCGGCCGCACCCATTGCGTTGACCATGGCGGGTGCGGCACAGTAGGGCGAGGTTCCGCCGACAAAGGCGGAGGTGATGGTGGCTCCGACGTCTGGGTCACAGCCAGAAGCTATGGTGGCGGTGTCCGAGGCAGCGGCGCGTGCCGTGCCACCGACGGCCCCAGAGACGACGCCCGCCATGGGAGGGACAGAGGGGGTCATGACCAAGGGACCCTCGGATACCGTGGCGGTTGCCGAGGAGACCGGCAGGGAGTTGTCCCTGGCCCTGACATTGGAGGGCTGCCACCCACCCACGCGGGATGAGCCTCTACTCCGATGGGTGAGTCCATGGGACCCGTCGTCAAAACACTTCACCCTCGACGATGCTGTCGAGGGCATAGAGTGGGAGAAGCTCCGCGAGGGGTTCACGGCCACGCTAGAGGCTCTGAACCAGGCCAGCGGCACCCTTCAAGACATCATTGTTCCCACTAGCTAGGTATTTACTTGGTCTTGCCCCCTGATTTGTTCTTTCTTCATCTATTTTTGTTTTCTGACCACCGTCTTCCTTCAGTCACTTATTGCTCGCAGTCGGGAGAAATCCCTGTTCCTTCATGAAAATAAGGAGGATTGGGACTGCCTTGTTGATGAGGCGCGACTGCACAGGGACGTGACCGCTCAGCTCCGACAAAGGGTGGCCGAGTTGACTCCCCTTGCCGCGAAGGCGGACGATCTTCGACAGCGGGAGGCCGAGGCCCGCAGGGATGCGGAGCTCGTCGAGAAGTCTTTTGATGAGCTATCGAAGAGGGTGTGGTGGGATCAGGAGGAGGCCGCTAGGGTGCGGAAGGAGTGGGATGAGCTACTTCAGCGGGATGCCGAGACCCATAAGGGGATCATCGACCTCCTGGTTGAGGCCCGAGAGGGAGCGGGATCTTAGGTTGGTGGCCGAGGAGAGGTCTGTAGCCTTAGAGCAGAGGGCGAAACTGGACGCCGAGATGGTCGCCCGGCTGCGCACGGAGTGAGATGAGCTATGCCA